CCATCTCCTACCGACTAACCTCATCCCGCCCCCTTGACCTGTCTGTCCTCCCTGGACTGACCTATCCCCTCCCTAACTCCCCACCTACACTCACCTTTAGTGGCTCCATCCTCGCCTCTTTGACCTGTCTGTCTCCTCTCCACCTATCTTCTCTTCTATCCATCTTCTATCCGCCTCCCCCTCTCCCCCTATTTACTTCAGAACCCCCTTCCCCTCCCCCATTTCTGAAGAAGGACGTAGGCCCAAAACGTCAGCCTTCCTGCTCCTCTGATGCTGCTTGGTCTGCTGTGTTCATCCAGCTCTACACCTTGTTATCTCAGATTCTCCAGCATCTGCAGTTCCTTCTATCCCCAGAATGTTATCTGGGTCTCTGTACTAACAGTCCAGCGATAATACTTCTAGGCTATTGCCTCCCCTGATAACTGTAAGAGGTGATAAACAGTGCCGTGCTCTCCCGCCTTCCATCGATTTCTTCACTCTTTGTGTTATTCCCGCAGGAAAAATTGAGCAAAATGAAAGCAAACGAGGCCAAGCTGGAGAACGACAAGCGCAAGCTGAAGGACTTTCTCGATGTCTCCGAAAGCCGGGCCACCAAGCTGGAGCTGGCTCGCCGCTCACTGGAGGGGGAGCTGCAGAGGATGAAACTGGTGGCTAGCGACCGAGAGACGGAGGCCCAGGTTCTTCAGGACCGCATAGAAACCCTGCAGAGGCAGGTGGCGGACAGCCAGGCCAAGGCCAACAGCCTGCAGCTGACTGTGGACCGGCTGAACACCTCGCTCGCCAAATCAGCGGAAGGGGAAAGCCACCTAAAGGACAAAGTGCAGAGCCTGTCGCTGCTGCTGTCTGATAGGATGGCCGGGGCGTCCGTGCTCCAGGACAAGGTGGCACAGCTACAGAAAGCACTAAGCAGCAGTGAACATGATCGCCGTATCCTACACGTGAGTATCCTACACGCTGCCTGGGGCACCCTCACTACACACACCGAGAGCACGGCGCTGTGTCCTACATTCGGCACTGAGTTCACCCTGACCTACCCCAGAACTAGTCACTAAGAGTGCAACTATCTCTATGTTATAAGGAACCTCTTTTCCATTTGGAGGGGCAGTATCAGCGACTGTACTGTCGAGACACTCCAGTATGCCTGAGCTGTTGTTCTCCATCTTCCCCATCCTCTCTCTCATTTTCCTTCTCCTTTTCTTCATCCTGTACGCTCTCTTCAATCTCTCTCCATCTCTCCATTAAGGGGAGACGATGGCCTAGTGGTATTATCGCTGGACTTTAAATCCAGACACCCAGATAATGTTCTGGGGACCTGCTTTGGGTTCAAATCCTGCCATGGCAGATGGTGGAATTTGGAATTAAATTGAACCTGGAATTAAGAGTCTTTTGATGACCGTGAATCCATTGTCAATTGCCATCTGGTTCACTAATGCCCTTTAGGGAAGGAAACTGCCATCTTTACCTGGTCTGGCCTACATGTGACTCCATTCCCATTGCTATGTGGTCAACTCTTAACTACCCTCTGGGATGGGCAATGAATGCTGGGCCTAGCCAGCAATGTCTTCATCTTGTGAATGAATAAAAAAAGGTCTCTATCTCGTAACTCAGTTCTTTTCCATCTTTACCCTCCATCCTTCATTCCCCTGTCTTCTCCTCCTGGTGGCGTCCCCACTATCACATCTTCCTCCTCCCTCCTATCTTCCCCTCCATCTACCCCGTTCCTTTCTTTTCACTGTTCGGAGTTATGATATGACAAAGGATGCTTTTTATTTTGCTTGGACGTTTAAAATTTTGAGTTACACTTTCCTCTTCAAGGAACGCCAACAAAAACAGGTTTATCTAGTTATTCATCTCACTTTCTGTTTCTGGGAACTTATCATATGCAAATTATAGTGCTTCCAAAAACAACAACTACACTTTAAGATTCCATCATTGACTGCAAGACATGCAGGAAATATCATGAAAGGTGCTATATAAATGCATCTAGTGGGCCGAGCAGACAGAATTAGATGAAGTGGAATGGGTGGAGGAACATCCGGAGAATAAACACAGCCATAGGCCTGTTTCTGTAGGGTAAGTTCTTAACTTCTGATTTTCTCTCCAGAATTTAGATTGATGTGCACTCATAGGCAGTGTCTCTCAATGTCAGGGTTTGTTGCCTTCCCATTCACTCCACCTTCCAGCTTGTTGATTGTTTCAATCTATCTTACAGCCTGAACGTGCCCCGATGTCTGAGCCGTTCACACACGTGTTTCCTATCTCTACCTAGCAAAATGTCTGGCTTGTAACAGCTCACAGACTGGCTGTGTGCCCAGGAAAAGCTGGGTGCTGGCCAAAGCGTTCCCCCCCCACTCACTGAATTCTGAAGGTGTTCCTTTGGAAAGATACTCTTGGTGGTATTAGCTTCCCCTTTGACTGTGAATGGTTAGGTAAAATAAAAAACGGTTAAAGCTGCTGGGAATCGCTAAATAGAAAAAAGACTCTCAGAAGACCGAAGGCAGATTGAAGGTGAGCTGCTCTTGTGCTCATTACTGTTATAGCCTTGTGGATCTAGTTTGATTTGGCTACTAATACTTGTTTAACCAAAGATGGAGTAGTTCCTCTAAATGCCGAGTCTTGGGCATAATAATATGTGTGTGCACGTGTGCATATATGTAACTGACGGTCTGTGAGTCTGTAACAACAATTATTTGTTTGCACTTGGCACAGGGAAGGACTGTCACTGTACCAGGGAGCTGACATCCAGTCAGCAGGAGGGCTGTGCTGATTGAGTTACACCCAGAACACTGAGCTCCAGTGTCTGCTTCCTCATTAGAGCTCCTTACCAGACACATAATGCAAATTCATCACCTCAGCTACAGAAAACAGCTGGGCTGGGATCAGTGTTCCCTCCACATTTCCTTCTCTGTGCAAAGTCCGTTCATTCCAGTGCCACGTGCACGCACTCGCGAGTGGGCTGCGCGAGACCTTCTGCTTCTGAAGATTGGGAATGAGAGGGAGGATTGAGTTGGCGGAGCGATGCTGTGAACAGAATTTAATTCTACCGTCAGGAACGGATTGGGAGGCATAAGGGGCCATGGAGTTGGGACTAAGGGGAGCGGCAGGTGAGTGGTGGGACAGTGTGCCCATCCACTGCCTGGCTCCCTGCACTTTTCCAGAGCAGGGAAGGTTAAGGATGACCAATTAAGATCCCATCACAGCTGGTGTTCTATTAGTACTGAGGCAAGCGGGGAGCTGCTAAATAAAAGCTGGCATCTCACTTGTGGACTTCTGTTCAGGCACCCTGTGGCTCACAGAAAGAGCTGCCCCCTTCCAAATCTTACCCCTTCCCTCAAAAATGAGTGCCCTGGCCTCCCAGTAGGGCCTGCTCCCTGTTAGGAGCCTCCTTTGTGGTGTGACGGTCCCAGTGAGCAGCAGTCCCAGCAGAATCCTTTGCCATGAGCTGTGCAGGTCAAACTGAGGGGGTCAAATAATGTGCTGACATGAACCTGTTAGGACTAGAGCGTGTGAAATGACCACCAATACTGTACAAATGTTAACTTGTGCAATTGGCCGGAGCCAAATCCTTCAAAACAGGAAGGGGAGAGTAGGGGTGACGATCGGGCAAAGTTAACTCAGGAGCAGAAATTGCTTGACATCTGTGTGCGTTCTGCAGTGGGCGACTGAGCCGAGCTGCTTTGGAGAACCTCAAGCCTGGGGAGCTTCATCTAATCCCGTTCCAATCGGTGCATGACCGAAGGTGAGAGTTGAATTCCCTTTTGTCTTTTGGCAGGAGCGTCTGGAGGCTGCGCGTCAAGCACTTAGCGAGACAAAGAAACAGAACAGCCTCCTTTTGGACAGGGTTCAGACCCTCCAGACTGAGCGGCAGGAAGGGGAGCAGCAGCGTGTGGAGCTGGAATGTCAGCTCCAAAAGCATCAGGAGGTTTGAGCCTTACTCTGATTTTCTACCTCTTTAGGGGTTGAATTTTGTATTAACGGACATTTATGAATGTTCTATATTAGCTGTATATTATTTAAATGGAGAAGGACTGCAGAACTCTGCCATACAGAGGGATCTGGGAGTAATGGAACATGAATCTCAAAGTAATAGTATGCGGCTGTAGAAAGTGATGAGGTAGCAAGTAGAATGTTAACTTTTATTTCAAGGGAAATATAAAAGTAGGGAAGTGTGGTTGCAGCTATACAGGACCTTGGTAAAACCACATCTAGTCAACCGTCAACAGTTTTAGCCTCCTTACTTAAGAGAGAGATATTATTGTGTTAGAAGCAGTTCAGAGAAGGCTCATTTGACTAATTCCTAGGAGGAAGGGTTATCTTGTGAAGAAATTTTAAGAGGTTTTGGCCTATTCCTAATGAAGATTAGAAGAATGAGGTCTGAAATGTCTAAGAATCTGAGGGGACTTGAGAGGATGGATGCTGGGGATGTTTCTCCTTGTGCAGGAGTCTGGAACCAGGGGGATACAGTTTAAACCTTAGGGGTCACCTATTAAAGGCAAAGGTAAGGAATTATTTCACTTAGGGTTATCAATCTATGGAATTCTCATTCCCAGAAATCAGGGGAGGCTGGGTGAGACAGATTTTGACCAACAAGGGATTCAAGCAAACAGGAAAGTGGAGTTGAAACCAAAATCAAATCAGTCACAATGTTGTTGGACAACAGAGGAGGCTGCAGGGCCTACTCTCAATCATACGTTCTTGCCAGTTCCAGAAATTTGTTCTTTTCCTATGTTTTCTTGTTGGTCATATTGCCAAGCAGGTGCAGCACAGCCTACATGTCAAATAAACCTCCCTCTGCATTACTTTTTCGAGCGTTCCCAGGTCATGTATAACGGTATACAATAGAATAGATGCAAAGAGATTGATTTTGTGTACAATAGAATGGCCTGCACATAAAAGACAGCAATGTATCGGATCTTTCAGATACCCAATAGGCAAGTTAGGTGGTTAATTTCTCTCTCTCGCTGTCTCTCTCTCTTGCTCTCTCTCTCGCTCACTGTCTTTTCCTCTCACTCTCTCTTGCACTGTCTCGCTCCCTCGTGCTCTCTCTCTCTCTCTCTCTCGCACACTCTCTTCCCTCCAACCCTGCCCCGAGATGTACAGTGAATACAAAAACAGAAATTGCTGGAAAAGCTCAGCAGATCTGGCAGCGTCTGTGGAGAGAAATCAGAGTTAGCGTTTCGGATCCAGTGACTCTTCTTCAGACCCTTCCTGTGAAGAAGGGTCACTGGACCAAAAACGTTAGCTCTGATTTCTCTCCACAGACGCTACCATACCTGCTGAGCTTTTCCAGCAATTTCTGTTTTTATTTCTGATTTCCAGCACCCGCAGTTCTTCGGTTTTTTTTTATGTGCAGTGAGTAGACTATTTGGTGAGTCCCTGTTTAATTTATCCCGTGTCTATCATTGCCTGCAGATGTTACACCAACGTCAGGAGGGGGACGAGATCACACTGCGGAATGTTCAGAAACTTCAGGAGGAGAAGCACCTTCTCCAGGAGCGGCTGAGTGTCCTGCAGCGTGCCGTCGCTCAGCTGGAGAATGAGAAGCGTGAGCTGGAGAGGTCGTCAGTCCGCCTGGAGAAGGATAAAAGTGCCCTGAAAAAGACACTGGACAAGGTGGGTCTGAAATCCCTGACGGTGGGGGTGGGGGGGGTGGGCGGGTGCGGCAAATGCATTCAGAGCCCAATGGGTGACAAATGAACTGTATCAGACGTGCGTGAGGAATCTTTTCATTTTAACTGAGGAGCCACCGTGAGGAGCCAAAGATCATGGTGCAGGAGATGTGAAAGATTGAAGATTTGGAGAGAAGGTGAGATAACCAGGAGGTGGTGCGAGGATGCTACCACTGGGTTTCAAAAGCCAGGTATTGGGAGGAAGGAAGAGGTGCGTAATTTGAGGTTTTTGTTGGGCTTTTTCTTGTTTCTATAAGTCCTAATGCAGAACTTGAGCTCTGTCTATCTGAGTCTAGGCGAGTCATCCTATCTACAACAAAACCATCTATTTCCACCTTCACAATATCACTTGAGTCTTTGCTCATCTGCCATTGAAACACCATTCTTGCCTTTATTACCTCCGGTCTCAACTATTGCAACACTGTCCTGGCTGGTTTCCTATATTGTATTCTGCCCCACCCCTCGATAAACTTGAGGTCACCCAAAACTCCACTGCTTGTGCCTTAACTCGCAGCAAATCCTATTCCCCATGATAATTGTGTTCGCTAATCTACTGTGAGAAAGGTTTGTAATATATTGTCATCATTTGGGAATTGATCTTAGATTTTAATGTAGAGATAATTTTGCTTTTGGTTTTAATTCTATGAAGGTTTTTTTCTAAGAGGTCAGAAAGTCATTTATGAACAGTCACTTTAAACATTTCCAAGAAAGCAACTGTCTTAAGATAAACAACGAGGTAAACTACCCAAGGGAATTAAATGATGAAATGTTTACAAAGTTGAACCTTTCAGGCAGACTGGACAATAGAACCATGGGGCACAGTCAGGTTTCAATGGAGAAGAACATTTTCATACCAGCAGATGTGCAATTTAGTTTGTGGCATCTAGACTTCCAAAGCTGAAAAAAAGTCTTAAAACTGTTTTGGCAGTTAAATAATTTTTCTTAAAGTTCAATTTGGAAAAGTCCATGAAGTAGCTGATGTCTGCATATCTTGGGGAGAGACAGTCATGGAGAGAGTCACATGCAGAGAGTGCATAGAGAATCACCGAAAGGAACTACTTGTAACCTCACCTGTTAATTTAGAAATTATTAAGAAAGGAGTGACACTTCACTGAGGTAGAGAGGATATTCAGGGTTGAATTTTTCTTTTTGCCTTTTATGTTAAATTTCTAAATTGTAGTCCCATTTGCCAGCATTTGGCCCATATCCCTCTAATCCCTCCCTCTTCATATACCCATCCAGATGCCTTTTAAAATGTTGTAATTGTACCAGCCTCCACCACTTCCTCTGGCAGCTCATTCCACACACGCAATACCTTTGGTGTGAAAAAGTTGTCCATAGATCCCTTTTAAATCTCTCCCCTCTCACCTTAAGCCTATACCCTCTAGTTTTGGACTCTCCTACCCTGCGGGAAAGACCTTGATTTTACACTCTATCCATGCCCTTCATGATTTTATAAACCTTGATATGGTTACTTCTCAGTCTCCGATGCTCCAGGGAAAATGGCCCCAGCCAATTCAGCCTCTGCCAATAGCTCAAACCCTCCAACCCTGGCAACATCCTTGTAAATCTTTTCTGAACCCTTTTGAGTTTAACAACATCTTTCTTATAGCAGGGAGACCAGAATTGAATGCAGTATTCCCAAAGTGGCCTAACCAATGTCCTGTACAGCCGCAACATGACCTCCCAACTCCTATACTCAATGCACTGACTAATAACGGCCAGTGTACAAACTCCTCCTTCACTACCCTGTCTACCTGTGACTCCACTTTCAAGGAACTATGAACCTGCATTCCAAGGTCTCTTTGTTCGACAACCGTCCCCAGGACCTTATGATTAAATGTATAAGTCCTGTCCTGATTTGCCTTTCCAAAATGCAGTGCTTCACATTTATCTAGATTTTGTTTTCCTTTGTGTAATACCTTGTGAATTTTCAAAAGAACATTTTTAGCCTCATGTTCACATGTTCAGTGACTAACTAGTATGATAACTAAACTGCAGAAAATAAAACTTGTGTCAAACCAGGTCTGAGATCTGACTTATCCTGTATTACCATCTGCTGAAATCGTAACACTACGCTGACTCCCCATCAAGCAATGTCTTAATTTAAAAATTCTCATCCTTGTTTTCAAATCTTCCCGTTATCTTTTCTTCCTTATCTCTGTAATCTCCTGCAGTCCCTCTTTGACATCTGTGCTTCTCTAACTCTGGCCTCTTGTGCATTCCCAATCATCGTCGTTCTGTTATTGTTGGTGGCATCTTCAGTTGTTGTGGAATTCTCTCCCTAATCCTTTCTGCTTGTCTGTGTTGCTATTCTCCTTTGAGACACTTCCTAAAATCATCTTCATTGATCAAGCTTTTGGTTATCCAACTGAATATCTCCATATGTGGCTCGTTGTCGCACTCCATTTAGTAATATTCCTACAGAGTGTCTTGAGATCTTTCACTATGTAAGAGGTGTTGCATTAATAGGAGTTACATTTGTTGAATGAGTGCTGCACTCTTAGCAATGCCCTCCTTACAGGTCGAACATTGATGCAAGGCCCTGGCACCTTCCTCCTGTGGTCTATAGGGATGTGAAAGAGCCCCTCTCCAGTGAACTGGACAGCACTCTTCCCCCAGCATGCGTCAGAACAGATATTCTGCTCTTCCTGCTTGTCCTGTTTATGAGAAATTGCAGGCTGCGCTTCTCCCTACGTAGCAGTCAATGAAATAAAGTAATTAATTGTATGATGTGCTTTGTAACATTCTGTTGATATGAGGAGGCGCTATATAAGGTGAGCTTTTTTTCTTCATGCTTTTGGACGGGTTTGAATCGGTTCTGTAGAGAGTCTGAAATGATAAGACTGATCTGCTCGACTGTACATGTGAGACTTTGGCAACAGCAATGTGTTTCTTACTTGGTTTCAGTTTGGTGTTCATGGATCCACTCCTTGCTCTTTCCCTGCAATTCTTCTCCCTTGCATGCATTTTCCCAATTATCTTTGGAATGTTGCATACTATTCAAAGCTGCCTCTACCACCATTCCAGGGAATGTAGTCCAGATCATCGCAAGTTGCTGGGTCAAGTATGTTTCCTCTTGTGGCCTGTGTTTTATTTCTGCCAGGTGTTTTTCAGCCTTTCACATGAGACAAATGTTATAACATCTCCTCCCATTGGTTGCAGGTAGAGCGCGAGAGACTGCGGACTGAGGAGGATACGCTGCGCATGTCCGCAGAGAAGGGGCGTCTGGATCGTTCACTCACCACCGTGGAGCAGGAGCTGGTGGAAGCTCAGAGACAGACCCAGCAACTGCAAGTAGGAATTATTGCATAGAGGCTAAGTGTATGGAGAGTGAGTGAGTGTTCACATGGACTTAGAGAATGCACAGGGCCAAGTACAGCTTCAACAGTGCAGGACAATGCATCCAGCCCGTGGATCTGAATCTGAAGTGCACCTTTAATTGGGAGCACTCCAGTTTCCACGTTCTATATACTGTGTCATTGAGCAATTGATGCCTAAGAGAATGGCCCCAGAAAGGAATGGCACAATTAATCTTGTCAGTGTAACTGATTTCTAACTCCGCATTTGTCTCAGTCAACCTATATTATTTTTTACTGATGTTTCTCTAACCTTGGCCTCATTCCTTTATCCTTTTTTTTGGAAGACGTTGTGCCATTTTTGTTACAAGTGCACCAGTTGCTAATCGGCAAACACCCCGTCCCTTCCACCACCATGTCACATTCCCCACCCAGGCAGACAGTGCTGGTGTCAAGACTAAAGTGATGCTATCCTATCCTGCCACTTGCAGGTTTTCCAGCAGCAATCGCTGAAGTGTGGATTGATAGAGGAAGCCTGACTGGCCTGCACCTCCCACACCCCAGACCCATGGGTGTACCTTCAGTCCCTTCATTATTTACCCTGGTAAACCATCCTGACGTAGAACCTGAGTTAATGATGAATTGGGAATGAACCTGACTGGGCAGCAGCTTGGAATTTGTGCACTTAAGACAAAGCTGTCAGAGCCGGCAGAGTGAAGCTATTGACAATGTGGAAGTGAATGTTTCTTGGGCTGAGTGTGCAAAAGAATGAGGAGATTGTTATATGTTTCCATGAGTATTGCAGAGGTGAATGTTCATGCGCGTGAGCCTCTAAGGAAGTTGTGTCTGAAGTCGGGAATCTCTGGAGAGTGAGACTGGGTATTTGCCAAGTGGGGAAGTGAGGTACCAGCGTTATTTCATCCAGATGTGGGACGAAGTCAATTGGTGCTATTATAACTGGGTTCAACCACAATATTAGCTCTAACCTCAATCCACAAGGCCCATAAATTATGTGATTAATGACAATGTGCAGCTTTGAAACTCAACACGCTGAAGCCTCCTGTAAAAAGTAAACAATGACTGAATCTCAGTTAATTTAAATGGATTCTTCCACTGAGTCAGACTATTCTCAGAATGAGGTTTCCTGTGCTTTGTTATAGTAGCTGTCTGCTTTTGTCTGTGGGGCTGTTGCTGGTCTTGCATCTCAATATCTCAGTGTATAGCAAGCTCCATATACATTTCTGATCATTCAACTCCTACTACAGTCCAGTCATTTTACTGACCGTTAACTGGTCTTTAAACTGGACGATGAGGGCTGCTTTCAAATTGCATTGTGTTATTGACTCTGTGTTAATGAGTTCCGGCTCTGTGACCACGAGGCTGTTCCTCTCCTGTTCTTTGACCCATAGCCTGGATTTTCCACTAGGTGGAGCTGCTCCTCTCAGCCAGTCCAGTGGAAAAGATGGCAGAATTCTAAGTGCATATTGAGTTTTCACAATCTTGACTAGATTATTAAAAGTAAAATCCTGCTACGAGCTGTCCCAGCCCAAAAGCCACGTTACACACACCCTACTTGTGCTTGCTTGGTGATGGCACCACAAAGCAAGGGATGGGGTCTTGATGCAATTTGAGATGCAGAAAAATGGTGCGGAAGAGCTCACTCTCTGCACACATCTTCAGCAAGAACAAACCTGTACTGTCAGGGTGGACCAGTCTTGCTGAGGACAGCAATCTGGATGTTTTACCAAGCCAGCTCCTCACTGGCAAGGAGCAGTTCTCCTTGCAGCTCTGTTGCCTATGGCATTCCCCTGAGGGTCGGCACATCCCATGTGCCAATGGTGACCAGCGGTCCCTCTGCTTTCATTTTTGAGATTGGCTTACGACCATGTCGGCTATGGTCTGCTGGCCAGGGAACTGAAGCAGACAATGTTTGGAGCACCTTCTTCATACTGTGGATGTGAGTAGTGCGGCCTTGAGAAGGACTGCTCAGATACTTAAGCAGTGGAGTTCCTTCTGGTGAAAATTGACCCCGAGTTGCCTGTGTGCAGGTTTGGGCCTCAGCTCCCAGTGCTGCTATGTCCCTCGCCCTTTGCCACAAGGCGTGACAACAGATGATAGGTGATGGCTTGTGTGTGACTTGGATTATAGTGCAGGAGGGTTGCACTCTCTCGTCCTCGCCTATCTTGCTCCAGTGGCGAGATGCATCCAGGCGGCTGGAAATCGGTCTGGATGTAGTAAGTCACCAGGATGCCCTCAGTGTCTTGTTGAGTTCTGCCCATTCTGCAGCACGATGTTGACTCAGTTTCGAGGTTGGTAGACCTTAGATTGCCCACAACTGCCTGTCTGCTAGAATCAGTCCTTTCAGGCCAGGGCAGACAGTAGGAGACCCAGCAGTTACCCTCGCCTGGTTTGTCCTGTCAAAGTAGTGTATATGGCGTGGCTGCTCTCGCACGTCAATGACTACTTTGCGCCACAGGTGAGAGCTGGGGGAAGGGGAGGACCAATGCTGAACAAACCACTTCAAAGTGTGTGACCGGACCCCCTGTATGAGGGGTGCTACACCCCTTCCCTTACACCCCAATCATAGAACAATTTGCCAAGGAAGGATTTTGAAGTGAGCAATGTAATAGGATTAAGAGATGACTGGATATGCCACTGGTAGAGGAATGACTTAGACATAATGATGAGACATCTTCAGAAATGGGTTAGACTTGGGCGTGTTGCTGTGTCATGGCTCCTCAAGTTTCTTATAGCATTTAATGAGTAAATGAGCGGCTGATAAATGGAAGGTCTGTTTGTCTGTTGTTGGTGAACTGCAAGGGTCTGATTGAGAAACATGTCACATATGAGATAGTGAGTTTTTCTTTTTCCACTCTTTGCTGATCCTTGAAGATGGAATTACAGAATATTAGGAGGAAGATTTTATCTAGCCTGGTGAGTGCAGCTGCCATGTTTGAATCAGACTGACTTGGCCCAACAGATGGTGCCAATGTCTCAAATATGGCTTCCCTTTGTGCTGATGCTGTTGTCATGCCAGCAGTGTGTTATGTATTGCAAAAGTCTGCAGCCCCTATACCGAGAAAGGCAAGGCCTCAAAAACACCACCACTTGCAAGTTCCCCTCCAGGCCTTACTTCAACCTGACTTCTCAATGTGTTGCTCTTCTTCCTTCTCCAATGGATCAGAATCTTTAAAACACCTCCCTGACAGCACCATGTATGTACCTTCAAAAGGACTACAATGGTTCAGGAAGGCAGCTCACCACCACCTTCTCAGGGGGCAATTAATAACCAATTCATGCTGGCCTTGCCCTCATCCTACGAATGAATGAAAAAGAAACAAATTCTCACTCCTGATGCCCAAAAGTCAAGCTCATGGGGTTATATTTACAGATGGTGGTGGATTCTTGTCAAATTCACACAAGTCACAATTTAAACAATCTGAGCATTTAGTCACTGATGGGCCAAGCTTCCAGTTGTCAGATTCTAAACAGTTAATCTCCTTTCAGTGTAAAATCAAATCGTTATACACAGATTTGGTTATCTGCAGGTGTTCATTATCACCATCAGGTTTATTTTTGTCACTGTGCTTGACCTAATCTTTTCAGTGTGTCGTCCCTCCAAGGGGGTCGGTCTGGGAGAAGCCTGTGTGGTATCTTCCGGCTTGGCAGGATCTCCTCGCATAGTTTATGGAGGGGGGTACCATTGGTGTTCAGGTCACATCACTGCCAGGCAACTACCCCCCCTACTCCATTCTTTGCCAGTGTGACCCCAACTTCTGGAGGCTAGGGTACCTTGCCTGGCAGCGCACTTAGATTCCCTTATAGACTCAGGGAAATTAAACACCAGAATCAACTTCTTCATTTCTGCCACAGTTAGCTTTCTGAGGAGTCTTTCTTATCTTTTACAAGGTCAGGTGGAGAGTCCAAAATAAACAGGACTAGGAACATCCAGGTCCCTGCTTATTCTGACCGAGCCCTGGTTGGGGAAGAATCCAGAGAAAACAACGGAAAAACGTTCACTTCTCTGTGGACAACCTTGTTGATTGGCCTTTGGACAAGTCATTTTTAAAGCTCTTTTAGATGATGGCATGACAGCAGAATCAGCTCCCCAGGGTCACACTTGGCCATTCAGTTCCTGCTTCATCAGCAACTGGAGACAGTATTATAATCTGCTAGAACCTAGCCCTGCTAGTACCCAGAGATAGTAGGAACTGCAGATGCTGGAGAATCCGAGACAACAAAGTGCAGAGCTGGATGAACACAGCAGGCCAAGCAGCATCATAGGAGCAGAAAGGCTGATGTTTCGGGCCTAGACCCTTCATCATTTTCTGATGAAGGGTCT